CATGCAGAAGGTCCCAAAGGAGATGCGATAGAGGAGTACGGAATTATTCATGGTGAGAAGGAAGTGGGCCAGGAGAAGCTTTGCTCCCCTCTCAGAATGCTAGGATTCAGGACCATCCAGATGTATAGATGGCATTCAACACCTAAAATGTATAAGAAGGTTCCTATTAACTGTTGGAAGTGAAAACAGATAGATGGTTCCTTTTTTTCATATGTGGTGGCCTTGCAAGAAAGCGAGGGCATTTTGGGAGATGATATATGATGAGATTTTTTAAAAAGAAGATGTTTAAAATGATGACACCAGAAAAACCTGAAACTTTTCTTTTAGGGATCATAGGGACAGAATTCACCAAAAATACGATTAACCTGTTTATGTATGTTACAACTGCAGCTAGGATTCTCTACACACAAAAATGGAAAGAAGCAGAAATACCCTCTAAAAAAGCATGGATAAGCAAGGTGATAGATTATGCAGAACTGGCAAAGTTAACAGCTCAAATAAGAGAACATAATGATGAAGGTTTTGTGGAAGAATGGAAACCCTTTCTGGATTATTTAAAGAAATATTCTTATAAGATGAACACGTGAGCAAGATTTGAACTATGAGCAACAGAAGGGATTAGAGATTATAGTAGTTTTCTTAAGGTTTAAGAGATAGAAGACAAGGGGAGAGAAACAAACACACCGTGGAAAAGGTGTTTAATACTAAAAAAAGATTTTATTATGTATTGAAATAATATTATTATGTGTGAAATTTTGGGAAACTTCGGGGGGGGGGGACTTCAGAAAAAAGAACTCCAGTGAAGCTGAATGTTGAAAGGTTTGGGACAGACAAAATAATATTTTTTCGCACAGGGTATGGGACGTGGGTGGCGCTGTGGGTTAAACCACAGAGCCTAGGGCTTGCCGATCAGAAGGTCGGCGGTTCGAATCCCCGTGACGGGGTGACCTCCCATTGCTCGGTCCCTGCTCCTGCCAAGCTAGCAGTTTGAAAGTACCGTACGTCAAAGTGCAAGTAGATAAATAGGTACTGCTCCGGCGGGAAGGTAAACACCGTTTCCGTGCGCTGCTCTGGTTCGCCAGAAGCGGCTTAGTCATGCTGGCCACATGACCCGGAAGCTGTACTCTGGCTCCCTCGGCCAATAAAGCGAGATGAGCGCAGCAACCCCAGAGTCGCCAACGACTGGACCTAATGGTCAGGGGTCCCTTTACCTTTATGGAACTCACTCCCACAAGAGGTGGTGCTGGCCCCCAACTTAGATGGTTTTAAAAGAAGGTTAGACAAATTCATGGAGGATGAGGCTATCCATGCCTACTAACCATGATGGTTATGTTTTACCTTCACTTTTGGAGTAAATTTGCAGCTGGGATTCACAGGTGGGGAGGGTGCTTGGCTTGTCCTTGTGGATTGTTCCATGGGCTTCTCATTAGATACTGTAAGAACAAGATCCTGGATTCGATGGGCTACTGGCCTGATCCAGTAGGCTCTTCTTGGGTTCAATCCCTGGCATCTTGAGACAAGACTGGGAAGAGTCACTGCTGGTCAGTATAGACAATACTAAGCTAGATGGACCAATGGCCTGGCTCAGTACAAGGCAGATTCCTATGTTCCTAAGTCTGTGCCAAATCTCAATAAATAGACGTCTGACGTGGGCATGCCCATCCTGTGTTTCTTGCACAAGCTTTTTTGTCATTGTCCACTTTGTTAGCTCTCAAGTTCATAGATAATTTCCCCCCTTGAAATTTTCTGATCTCTCTGGTTCGCTAGTCAGCTGCTTGTTTAGCAATGCTTGTTATTCAGAACTGCCAACCTTTTCATAGGACGTGTGGGAATCATGTGGTCAACATTCCACTTTCCTACTGGCTGAGAATCAAGTTGCTATGGGAATCGCTGCAATTGAACATTCAAAGTGAGTTTTGGGGAAAATATTCATTTGAATAGTGTTGCTATTCATACCATTTTTCCTGCAAGGAAGCCTAGCTACTGGAGCAGAATACACAGAAAGCAAATCTGGGGGTTAAGGAGGGGAAGGATGCAACATAACGCATGTTGAAAAATGCATACCCCAATTTCAACATAACCACGATTCCTAGAATACTGTTCGAAACTTGCCAACCAACTGTTGAAAGATAGGCTTCTGCTTTTCATTAGAGCTGGATTAGCCAGAGTAACACTGTCAACCTCCACCTAAAGGTAGGACTGGCTTCAGTTGTTGGGAATCATAGGAGGGCAGAATATAGTTTCTCTCTGCTTGCAGCCTTCCGATGGGTACCAGATTGGCCACTGTAAGAACAGAATACTGAAATAGAGGGGCCAAAGTTCTTCTTATGGCCTTGTGACACAACCACCTCTGATAGAAGATGGCAGCAGGGGTTATAGGCCTCCTGGCCATTATACCTAAGACCACAGCCTGCCCTTCACCTGCTAAGATAGACTGTTGCTTTCAAGTGATGCAGAATATGCTGTCTTGTCACCAGCGCAGAAATAAGGTTCAACTGCTAATTCAATTGGCTTCCGCATGTAGAATGGGGGAGGGACACCATCTTGTCCTTTGCCTCAGGCAGCAAAATGTCTTGGGCCAGCTCTGCTTCCAATGTTTCCATTCAACAGCAGTTATCAGGCTCAGACTAAGGCAATCTCACTCAGGGTTTTGTGTTGAAAACAAAAGTCGCTTGACTTTAAGCCCAGATTGTTGACACTTGCATTCATTCCGACTGCAGCTTTGCAGCTCGGTTCTATCCCCTTCTGTACTAAAGAATAGACTCTGTGCAGGCTCTGGCCAAATCCCACGTTCTGAACAGAATCAGGTCAATTCAGGTTGACCCAAGACTCACCTCCTCCCAACTGCATGTTTTAATTGGGGTTGAAAACCCTAATTGAATCCTCTGCAAGCCTCCCAGGACAGGAACGAAGTTATGCTGGCCCTGGATTGTCCCAGGTTCAATTGGGGATGCTCCAAAGCACCAGATGGGGGCATGAATTGGATTGAGATGGGTGTGCACAGCCCTCCTAAAGGGTATAATGAGCTGCCATGCTGAGTTAGCTCGATGAGGCATACCTCAGGGTTCCTAAGGTAAAAGGTAAAGGGACCCCTGGCTGTTAAGTCCAGTCGCGCACAACTCTGGGGTTGCGGTGCTCATCTCGCTTTACTGGCCGAGGGAGCTGGCGTTTGTCCACAGACAGTTTCCGGGTCATGTGGCCAGCATGACTAAGCTGATTCTGGAGAAACCAGAGCAGCGCATGGAAACGCCGTTTACCTTCCCACCGGAGTGGTACCTATTTATCTACTTGCACTTTGACGTGCTTTCGAACTGCTAGGTTGGCAAGAGCAGGGACCGAGCAACGGGAGCTCACTCTGTCGTGGGGATTCGAACTGCCAATCTTCAGCCCTTCGGTAATGAGCCCTGCCTCCTCTGTCCCTTAACGCAGTCCCCTCCAATGCATCTTCCATTCTGTCTGTGTTGGACTTTATAACTTGGCAGAATTGGCTTGGAAATATTGTATCCCAAAAGCTTTGGCTCTACCTTGTAAATTGGCTTAGTATACCAAAACATTTAAATCAAAACAGATACATGGGTTGTAATGCTGTTGGCGTTTAATTGTTGCACTGTAGTTGAGATTTCTGCATTGCATAGGGCTGGGCAAGATGACCGTTGGGTCCCTTCCAACTGTATGGTTCTATTAATCAAGGGGTTGTATTGTAGCTTAGTAGGAGAGCACATGCTTTGCACTTAGATGGTTCCAGGTTCCATCCCTAATGCCTCTAGTTAAAAAAAAAGGATCCAAAGACAGTGATGTGAAAGATCCAGAAACTGATACCTCAGTACATAGTATCAGACTAGATAGACCAATAGTCTGATCTAGAATAAAGCAGTTTCCTATGCCTGCATGAAAAAAATGGAAGTGATTATCATCACTCGAGCCTTTTTCTTCCAGCTGCTTCTGGCTTTGAGAGGAGGGTCTCTGAGCAAATCGCTAGCAAAAGCAGCAGGCCAATGCTTACAGAGCCTCAACCCATGCTCCTTGCAGGCGCAATCCCTTTGCACCTGTGCTGATGTTTGGCACTTACACACAAATCTACAGTTCCGTCGTGCCTTCCTGTCAGGATCCCTTGACTTTGAGACAGGAGCATGCCATGAAACCAGAACATCGTGGTGGAAGAAGAAGAGGAAGAGGAAGAGGAAGAGGAAGAGGAAGAAGAAGAGGAGGAGGAGGAGGAGTTTGGATTTGATATCCCGCTTTATCACTACCCAAAGGAGTCTCAAAGCGACTAACATTCTCCTTTCCCTTCCTTCCCCACAACAAACACTCTATGAGGTGAGTGGGGCTGAGAGGCTTCAGAGAAGTGTGACTGGCCCAAGGTCACCCAGCAGCTGCACGTGGAGGAGTGGGGAAGCGAACGCGGTTCACCAGATTACGAGTCCACCGTTCTAAACCACTACACCACACTGGAATCAGAGAATAATACTGCTGAGTATTATTCAAGCAATTTATTATAACAGACGGGAATTGGAACAGTCATCAAAAATATGCTAAGCAGAATCGATTGGCACAGATGTCCATAAACGGTGCATGAACCACAGTTTTAACTGCTTTAAACTAGCCTAAATATTCAAATTGCCTGTTCTGAAAGCCTGCATGGAAACACATAGACTGTGCATGAACCCCTTGATCCACCCTGTGCTATCTGTGGCCTCTGGTTCAGGGCGACTCCCCATGCAATATGCAGATCAGCAGATATCTTAATATTATCCCACAAAGCAGCCAAGCTGGTATCTGATTTATTCCTGAGGGTAGGATCACCAGTTCTACAGAGTTCCTTAATAATGTTTGCCAAACGGAGCTAACAGCTATTATTAAAACAATATTGGGCTCTATAAATATACTGTTCCAGGGAGAATCCATGCTGATGGAAACAGCGAACCATTTAGCAGCCACCCAGGAGGTGTGCCAGTCCCCGTACCAATCAGGAGGGAAGTGTGAAGAAACACTGGCAGCTCAGGGCAGAGAGGTCAGGAGGAACGACACAGGAGAGGAGCGAGAATATTCAGAGAAAAGGCAAGGCAAACTAAGTTTGCGGGAATTATTTGTCTTCATAAGGAGTGACAGGGGGAATTGGAATGCTATTATAGCAACTCACAGCCTCCCACTTCCACGGCTGCTTTCATGCATTAGTGAATCGCTTTGGGATAGAAGCGGCAGACAGCGAAGTAGTTCACTAGCAGGAAGCATGGACCATCAACGGCTGGCAATCTGGTAGGAAAGGGAATTCCCTCTTTTGCATGTGCTGAAGTCAGCAAGAGCGTGTTCACTGATTGGTTAGTCCCTTTCTGGGATGTGCTGATGGTGGGGCCCAATATCTATATAGCAGATATGCACATCCAGGGTGCTGACTGAGGAACCTTGAACCTCTCTGACAGAGATGGGGGCCTGTGGCCCTCCAGATGCTGTTGGACCCCCAAACTCCCATTATCCCTGACTAATGCTGGCTTGGGCTGATAGGAGTGGGATGTCAACAGCATCTGGAAAACCACAGGGTCCCCAACATTGTTCTTCTGCCACCTCCCCACAGCTATAGGTAACATTGGTAGCAGTGCTGGAATTACACTTATTTTTGTGATGCTAATGCTTTTCAAAGGCTGTGTGGGTCATTATTTAATTAAGATTAGGGGGAATTGGGTGTTGTGCTATTGAGCTGTTGGGCTTTAGTAAGGCCTCTCTACTACTTATCCATAAATTGAGCATTTGGCAGGAATATCTCTCCCATTTCTATCACCCCACAGCAAAAGAAGAAGAAGAAGAGTTTGGATTTGATACCCTGCTTCATCACTACCCGAAGGAGTCTCAAAGCGGCTAACATTCTCCTTTCCCTTCCTCTCCCACAGCAAACACTCTGTGAGGTGAGTGGGGCTGAGAGACTTCAGAGAAGTATGACTGGCCCAAGGTCACCCAGCAGCTGCATGTGGAGGAGCGGAGACGCGAACCCAGTTCACCAGATTACGAGTCTACCGCTCTTAACCACTACACCACACTGACCAAAAGTCAGTGGTTCTTACTACTAGTGAACTGCTTCATCCGTTAACACTGCTTTAAGATATTTAGAAAATGCCAGCAAAAATACTGGGAGTCTGAGATGGTGGAAGTTGGAGTCTGTCAACATCTTGCAGGCCGGTGGGGCACAGGTTCCCCATCCTTGATGTAAATAATTTGTGTTGACTTATCAGAGGAAAACAGATCCTGCAACAGCTTCCATAAATTCAAAAAGCTCATTGCGCTAGCCACAATATTAACAATAACACATGAATGCAAAGATATTGCTTGTGAGAAAAAGCCTAGAAACATTTGGTAGAATGAATAAATGGAAGAGACAAGTTTTACCAATTATACTGATTGGTTGCTAAATCAAGCTGAAAGAGAGATTCTGAATCAAGGTACAGGTAGGTGGGGAAACGAGTTGTGGATGGTGCCCATTGTAGAGCAGAAGGCAGGGAAACCAACAGGAGCCACCCTGAGTTGCCATATTGAGCTATTTTTTAAGAAGACCCCAAAGTTGTTGAGCTCCTTTTTCTTTCTTTTTTACGAAAACACCACAAATATGTGATTTTTCAATTGGCTTGCCTAAGATTCAGGATAAAGCGCCGCCTTTGGGAAGTCCTGCCCAGACGCCAATTCTGCCTTTGAACTCCCGGTAATGTCTTGGAAAATCCGGACATATGGCAGCCCTAGGATAGGCAGAGTTAACCAGTTCTTGTTGGGGCTCCATCTTCCTCCCTGCTGAGTTGTGTAATTAATTCTACTTTTGTCTCTATCCTCTTCTCTACACAGTTCTACAAGGACAACACTGAGATTGAGAAGGAGGAAACCCCTACAGACCAGCCTCCACTGAAAAAAATACACAGAAAAATGGCAAGTGCTTTAGACTGAATACAAAGGATATAGCAAAACTGCATTAGAATCCTAATGGAGAGATGGAAGACAACTGAGCCAAAGGGGGTTGGATATCCATGAAGACTTATGAATGACACCATAAAGTTTAAAGAAATGCCAGATGGGTGGAATGGAGTAATGCACTCCTACAGAAACAGTAAGCATATAAAAATGTAGAATAGTAAGGAATGAAATTGATATGGCCACAAGACAAATTTATGGGGTAACAGAGCATCCATATGCAATTTACATCTGCACTGGGAACAGCTGCTGAACACTATTTCTGCACTGATCATACATTTGGAAAAACAGAAAAGTACGCCACTTCATATTCTACTTGCTACAAAGGTCTCCTTAAGAAATACAATGTAGATTCAGAAATATAATATGAACTCAGACAGAAAGATATGAGCCTGACTCGAAATGCGTTTATCCCTACAAAGTCACCAATATCCAATGAGGAGTGTTACAGGTGAACTAAAACAAACCCACTGTTAGTAGTGAGAAGGAGGGAGAAATTTGATTAAGTTGGCAGTTAAAGGCAAAGTTACCAAATTTCCATTTTCTGAAATAATATTGTTACACGCCACCCCAATCCCTGAGTGGTGTGAGAATCCAGGGGTACCAGGCCTGCTTACCAGGGTCTGTGATTGCTTTTGGACAAGGAGACACAGCAGAGACTGTTGCGTATTTATGGTATGTGGTTTATTTACACATATATGAAACCTAGAGAGAGTGCATTGCATTCACATCCCAAGAGGATCCTGTTCCTTCCATTTCTGCGGCCTTGGATTCCAAGAGACCCCAAACATTGTGTCCGACCCTCTCTGAAGCATGACCACCTTCTCACTGGCCCCCCTCTTAAGCTTGCAAAGCTCATCCTGCCCCCCCCCCCCGATGCTTACATAATCCAAACTGACATCCTACACACTCTGCCCGCTAACACACAGCTGGGAGAGGGGCCTCACTCAGGGGCGTAGGAAGGGGGGCGGAGCACCCCAGGGGTCCTCACTGAGGGGGGTGACATTTCAGCATGCCGCCCGCAACTCCCAAGCCTACCCCGAGCTGTCGGGGTAAGGGGGTGAGCTGCAACGCTTTGCTGGTGGCGTTTCCCCCTTCCCCCTTTGTTTTGACAGCTTGAGGAAGGCTTGGGAGTCATGGGCAGGTGGCGCACTGAATGTCCACCATGGGCGTCTTGCTCCGCCCCCGACTGCAAGGTTTGCACACTGCTCTGGGCACCCGAGCGGCTTTCCTGCACCTGGGAGGGCTCCCTCTGCACCACACACCCCTCGGGAGCATGCCCGTCCTGGGCAGCACGGACATATGCTCTGCTGCTGGCCTCAACCTCCTTGTCTGGCAGACAAGGAGGTTGAGGCCAAAACCCTCCTAATGGTTTTCTTGATGTGTTAATGCCTTGGCCATTATTGGCTTTGTTCTTCCAATGACCCACATTCAGCTAGCTATGGCAGTGGCCTGGCTCCTTAGCATAAGCTGAATCTAGCCGTGTTTGGCCCAGTTTCATCAAACCTTCATTATCCTTTGGAATTTGATGAATTTCGCAATGACGTTCTTCACCCAAGTCATGTGTACAGAAATGCATGTACTATGGTAAAAGTGTGCATACTGAAAATCCTGCATATATTAGTCAGCTGCACTCTCCAGTTCCCAATACAGCAGGTTTAGTGTGTTTCCCATGGGGGCTTTCAAAGAGGACACCCCTCCAGCCACAGTTGTTTCTCTGGCCTGCACACTCTTCTTCCTCCTCCAGCTGTGCTACCTTTCCTCATCTCTAGGTGGAGATGGGAAACATTGGGGGCAAATCCTGGTAGAGATAAGGATTATTCCCACAGTGTGAAATAGCTGTGAATGCTGATTAATTGCGTCTTCCTTTGATCTCCTCTTCATTAGTCAGCTTCCTCCACTTTCGAGCATAATTAATACATTCCTGATCAAAGACCTATCAGAAGGCAAGCGCAAGCAACTCTTGTTTCATTGTGTGTTCCTATTAAAAGAAGAACTGTAGCAGCAATCAACCTGGAGAAGTAGCAAGAGCTTCCACTTTGACGGTGGAACCAGTCAAACCGGCCCCAAAAAGTCAATTACAAAGAGGAGGGCTGTTTGATCATTAATTTTAGAATCAAGAACACAGCATGGGATGCCCCACTTATTTCACTCTCATTCCCTCTCCCCAGATATCAGTAAACACATGGAAGGGATGGCAGAGAAGTTCTGGTCCAAGCTTGAGGTCTTTGGAATGCCTGTATATCAAGCGAGTGGTTCTGCTGGTTTCAGGATAAGGATGACATGGCGCACCTTTTGCCTCTGGCTGCATGTAGATCATGCATTTAGAGCACATTCAGAGCACATTTGGTGCACATGGTTTCCCCCAAAGACTCCCAAGAAGTGTAGTTTGTTAAGGGTGCTGGGAACTGTAGCTCTGTGAAGGGTAAATGGCAGTTCCCAGGATTCTTGGGGACAGGCGGACCATGTGTTTTAAAAATATGGTGCATAAACAGCCAGAGGTTATTCTGAGCCCTTGGTAAGTGGCGTGACACTTATCACACCTTCCCATCCCATCCCAAACCCAGACCTTTTAGAGGGCTGGAGGAATAACTGGCAGCAGGTAGGGCCAGGGTGGGGATGTTGAACTCAAACTCCCACCATCCCCTGCTGCATTCCTCCTGCTGCTTTTTGTTCTGGTTTTATGCTGATGCTCTTTTGATGGTTTAAGTTTGTGGTGAGCAACCTCTGGCTCCAGTGCTTCGTGAAACCCATGCCCAAATTCAAAAGCCATGGAAGGTGTTCCATTAGGGCAAATGGGGCACTACCCTGCAACCTGAGCCAGGCCTGATCTGTCCACCTCCTTGCTTACAAGCAGCCCAGAAGGTGGCATTCCTTCTTAACTTCAGTATTGTACAGTGTCTAATGGCTGTGGCTCAGAAAGAGAGTGCCTGTTTTGCCTGCAGAAGGTTCCAGGTTCAGTCCCCAGAATCTCTGAATAGGGCTGCGAGAGACAGTGGCGTAGCGTGGGGGGTGCAGGGGGGGCCGGCCGCACCGGGCGCAACATCTGGGGGTTAGGGTTAGGGGGCGCAAATCCACGGGTTAGGGGGCGCAAATTACTTGCCTTGCCCCAGGTGCTGACAACCCACGCTACGCCACTGGTGAGAGAGATCCCTGTCTCAAATCCTGGAGATCCACTGCTAGTCAATGTAGACCAGGGGTAGTCAACCTTTTCATACCTACCACCCACTAATGCATCTTTCTTGGTGGTAAAATTTCCTTACTGCCCACCGGTGCTCGATGGAAGGAGGATTCAGCTTGTGCAGTAGAACCCCCTATCTTCCTGGCAGCAGACGACAGAACCATGAAACAGGTGTAAAATACTCAAGCAAGAGTTCTATTTACAACCTTACAAACAGAAAGCATGTGGGTGTTCTCTTTTGCAGGCAAATTCAAACTGCAACTTCTCCTCCTTTTGTACTCATCACCAGCTGTACCTAATCAACCCAGAAACCCACACCCAGAACTCACAGAAACAGTTAAAGCCCTAAACGGCCTCGGTCCAGTATATCTGAAGGAGCGTCTCCTCCCCCATCATTCTGCCCGGACACTGAGGTCCAGCATCGAGGGCCTTCTGGTGGTTCCCTCGCTGCGAGAAGCCATGTTACAGGGAACCAGGCAGAGGGCCTTCTCGGTAGTGGCGCTTGCCCTGTGGAACACCCTCCCAGCAGATGTCAAGGCAATAAACAACTATTTCACTTTTAAAAGACAACTGAAGGCAGCCCTGTTTAGTGAAGTTTTTAATGTCTGACGCTGTATTGTTTTTAATATTTGGTTGGAAGCTGCCCAGAGTGACTGGGGAAACCCAGCCAGATGGGCGGGGTATAAATAATAAATTATTATTACTGTATTTTTCGCTCCATAAGGAGCACGGACCATAAGGCGCACCTAGTTTTTAGAGGGGAAATCAAGAAAAGAAGAGCTCTCCCGGCTGGAGAGGTTGCTTGGCTAAAGAAGCCATAGCCGTGCGCAGGCTCTCCTGGCCGGAGGGGCTGCGTGCAGCTATGGGAGAAGCCAAGACAGCGAGCAGGATGGATCCCGCCCGCTTCCTCTTTAGTCGCGCACAACCTCTCCAGCCGGGAGAGGCTGCACACGGCTAAAGAAGCCATAGCCACGTGCAGCCTCTCCCGGCCAGAGGGGCTGCGCGCAGCTATGGCAATACCCCCACCTCCCACAAAAGCCCACAGGAGCCGCGCACCCTTTAAGAAGCACATGGCTCCTGCGGTCTTTTCTATGAGGAGGGAGAAGGGACTGACTGGCCACATCAGTCCCTTCTCCCTCCTGGGGAAAAGCCCGCAAGAGCCACGCGGAGCTTGTGTGCGGCTCTTGGGGGCTTTTCCTGCCTGCCCCCCCTGCATTCGCTCCATAAGACGCACACACATTTCTCCTTACTTTTTAGGAGGGGAAAAGTGCGTCTAACGGAGTGAAAAATACGGTGTATTATTATAGTTCTTAAAGTTACAATAATTTTTTCTCTTTCTTTGCAGAATGACTCCTAACACTACCACTGACCTAGAACCCTGAGATACTCACTAGTGGGCGGTAGGGACCAGTTTGACAACTCCTGGTGTAAACAATGCTGCGCTAGATGGACAAGTGGGTAAAGGGCTTCTATTGCTAACACTTTGTCCTTTATTACTTGAAGAATTCAGCAGGGAGGAGGAAGGGCATACAACAAATATTAGTTGTCTCTGCCTGTCATTGGACTCTGGCTCCACCTACTGTTGGCCTCCTGCCTTACACTGTACCAGTCCCAATGGACACCAGCTGCCAGTGTTTAAAAACCTTCTGCAAGTGATATGTTCTGGATCATTGATTTGATGGGCAAGGAAGAGATGGGCGGGAGAGAAAATGGTGTAGCAATGAGAGAGCAGTCAGGCTTTTTTCTTCTGACGGACTCCTTCCCCATCTGCCTCCTTGGTTAGGTGACCGTAGGTGGTCTGAGATGATAAATAGGTGCTAAATAAAGATGATAAATAGGAGATAAATAAGATGCTAAATATATCGAAGGCTGCTACCTCAAAATGATAATTGCCATTGTCTCCTCTGAGAGAAAAATGGATTTGCAGAATGTTGGATGTTTTCAAATATGCCCAATTAACCAGTTTAATTGACTCTGAAATGGTGCACAGAAAATTAATAATTTTCAGATAATCTATTTTGTTCAGTATCAAAATAATTTTCTGGCATGTCAGTGAGGACTGGCCCCCTTCATCACTTAAATTACTTAAATAATTGATATGATGGGCATGATTCAGTCAAAGTTAAGCCTCTTATCAGTTAAGTCCAACTGATTTCAGTGAGGAAGATGTACAGTAGGTAGATATTTAATTCTCGCACTGAAGCCTGAGTTTAAGAAGCATGGCCACCACAGATTAAAAATCAGAGAGTCATAAACAGTTGTAATAGAGCACAGCTCACAAGGTAACCTTCCAATCCATTGTTTAATGAAACAAATTCATGGGGAGTACAGAGAAATCTGAAGTGTGGCTATATTCTGCTTCACAACACATCGTTGGAACGTGGTTTCAATTAAAGACTTAGCAGCATTGAGATAAGATGAAATGGAGTACATTTTGATTCATGGTGATAATTTGTTGTTTGCGCCAACCTAAGGGAAACTAGTTTTAAAGGTAGCTATGGATTTTCTTATTAATTAATTAGTTACAGTACATCCATGGTAGGTGAAGGTCTGTGCATATTTGGTAACGTATTTATAGATAAATATTTTGTCCTATAAATTTCCTTCACCCTTATGTTTCCATTAGTAAGAATGCATAAAAATATTTTTTTCATGCACTATCTGGTGTCACTGGATCAATTCTGTTGAATTAATTAAAATAAATAGTTTTAATTGGATTCTTTATAAATGTGTGATTAATTGTTACTATTTTGAATTATACTGTGTTCTTCTCTTTCTTGGTGGGTCAGGCAAACTGCTATTCTGAATAATGCTTTTTATAGGGCAGGGTAGGGGGCACTGGGGTGAGTTTATAGGACCAAGGGGCCAGTAGTCTGAAAAGGTCTGGGAACCATTGCCTTAATCCATTTGGCTGGCCATGATGAGAAATGGGATGCTGGATTAAATTAGCTTTTTTGCCTGATCCAGCAGGGCTCTTCTTCTGTCCTTGTCTCTTCCCACGTAAGTTGGTGTAGGAGTGCAGCCTTAAGATCATCAGGTGTTTTTACCTTTGTGCACAAAAGGAATAGTAAGACAGTGCAAAGAGATGCTTGCATGTTATTTGCTTGGGTTATGCTTTATGTCTTAAATAAATACTGAATGAGAGAAAGCATCCCCGGTGTACAAAAAATGGGAAAAGAAGATTCACGATGAAGCTTTTTCTAGCAAATTGTCTAGTTACGTGTGCCAGTTAGAGGGAAGACAAAAATGTTACTTTTACAGAAAAGTAGAGATGTTTTATTGAATACTAGGAAAATGAAATCCACAACTCCGTAAATATTGGCTGCGCTTGAGATATGCTTTAAAATGCAAGATGAAAGGCGTGTAGTTTAATAAGTAGTACTGCAATGAAAGATAATACTGTTGCTCTTTGGCAGCTGACATCCTGTGGCCTCCTGACTTTGAATCTAGAGGTGGCATTTAAAGGGGGGCTCAGGCCAGGGGGGCAAATATGGTCCTTGTTAGGCCCTTGGGTCTCTCCTTAGGCCACAGCCCTTGCTGGCTCTCCTCCATTCTCCTCCTTGAGTGTTCTTATCTGGATGGCAGATGTCCTTGAGCTCTGATGTCACAGACTGACTAGATGCAAAGGAGTTTTGTGAGGGACCAGCTGGGGAACCCCCAGAGGATGAAGACTCAATGCCAAGGAACTGGTGGTGGGACGATGATGAGCGGTCAAGGGGAGAAAAGGAAGAAGACTGGGAGGTGGCGGCATCGGAAGCTGAAGAGGTAACAAGGTTTAGTGAGCAGGAAGAGGCTGTGGCAGACAGCAGTCCAGAAGCGGAGGCAGAAGCGGAGGCTGGAGAGGAGGGGTTCAAGAGGTAGAGATGAGGTACACGGCTGAAGAAGTCAGAGGGGGAGTGTCTCCCACTCCTGACGTGACCAGCTCCCCTCCCCCTTGGTCTCCCAGAGAACATGCAGAGAAAGGAAGAAGGCAGAGAAAAGAGATACAAGACAAAGCAGCTTTAGGCTTCTGGAGAAGGAACCAGGGGAGAAGCCTTAGCAGTGGGAAGACCTTCAGTCCTTGCAACTGCCTCATTAAGGTAAGACCTACCAGGAAGAGTTGCTGGGATCATTAGGCCTGCACTGTCTGGGTTTCTTTGAAGAATTTCACTGACACCTGTCAAATTATTGCTGGCTTCCTCCTGACTCTTCTCCTGACACTGATAATGTTCTTGCTTTCTTGGATGGAGGATAGAGATGGGTGCACAAAGGCGTGGAGCAACTAGCCTACTGTACAATGGTAAAATTTGGATTCACAGCTCTCCCACTTTTGCCTCTTGCCCCACTTACTACTGGCACGTGGCTTCTAGATGTGGTTGCCCAGAAGAGAATGCAGCCCAAACAGGTCCCTTGTTCATGCCATCATTACTAGTAATTGAAATACTTTATTGTCACTTGTACAACTTGTATACAGTGAGATTACACAAGCACCCCCCACTCAGCTCTCTTAGTCTTAATTCCCCTCTTTTACTGACGCATACCCACCAAACCCAAAAGTGAGTTGCCCTGTTGTTATCTTTTCACTCAGCACCCTAACAGCCCACGGATAGAAGCTGTTCTTTACCCTGTTGGTGTGACTAATCGTGCTTCTATATCTTCTGCCTGAGGGCAGGAGATCAAGAAAGTGCCGGCCAGGATATGAATCATCCCTGGGAATTTTCCTCACTCTCCTGAGGCAACGTTCTTCCACTATTTCATCCAGCGGATTCACGGGACAGCCCATAATATCTTGTGCTGTATTCACCACCCTCTGTAGGCACTTCCTATCAGTTGATGTCAAACCAGCGTACCACACCCTGATGCAGTATGAAAGGACACTTTCTATTGTGGACCGGTAGAAGAAGATCATCAAATACTGATTGACATCATTCTTCCACAATACTGTGAAGAGATGGAGTCTCTGTTGGGCTTTCTTAACCACCTGGGTTGTATTTATTTTCCAAGTAAGGTCTTCACTGAGATAAACTCCTAGGAATTTAAAGGAAGAGACTCTCTCCACACAACCCTCCCCAATGTACAGCGGGCTAGTAAACACCATGTCATCTGTGAACATTTCCAATCCCCTTTTAAAAGTCATGGAAACATTCCTTATGAGGAACGGTTGAGGGAGTTAGGTATGTCCAGCCTGGAGAAGACAGAGGGGCGATACGATAGTCACCTTCAAACATCTGTAGGGCTGCCCCATGGAAGATGGGGCAAGCTTGTTTTCCGCTGCTCCAGAGGGTAGGACCTGAACTAATGGATTAAAATGACAAGAAAGGAGAGTCTGACTCAACATTAGGAAGAACCTTCTGATGGAGAGAGCTGTTTGAAGGTGGGACAGACCCTTTCCGAAGGTGGAGGTTTTTAAACAGAATTTGGATTCTTTAGCTGTGATTCCTGCATCGCAGGAGGTTCAGCTAGATAATCCTTTGGGTCCTTTCCAACACTACTTGTTGTTTAATCATTTAGTTGTGTCCGACTCTTCATGATCCCATGGACCAGAGCACGCCAGGCACTCCTGTCTTCTACTGCCTCCCGCAGTTTGGTCAAACTCATGTTAGTAGCTTTGAGAACACTGTCCAACCATCTCGTCCTCTGTCGTCCCCTTCTCCTTGTGCCCTCAATCTTTCCCAACACCAGGGTCTTTTCTAGGGAGTCTTCTCTTCTCGTGAGGTGGCCAAAGTATTGGAGCCTCAGCTTCAGGATCTGTCCTTCCAGTGAGCACTCAGGGCTGATTTCCTTCAGAATGGATAGGTTTGATCTTCTTGCAGTCCATGGGACTTTCAAGAGTCTCCTCCAGCACCATAATTCAAAAGCATCAATTCTTCGGCAATCAGCCTTCTTTATGGTCCAACACTATGATTCTACAATTTAAGCTAGCTGCCATCACCACACCCTTGTTCCAAAATAAGGTGGGGGGGGCACAAAGAGACCAATATTTGCCCTTTCCTTGCTTGCTGGCCTGAGCTGATTTGTTTCTAGCCTCCCCCGGCACCCCAGACATTGTGGCAGCTTTTTTGCTGCAAATTATCAGCGTCTGCCTTCCCCTGCTGAGGTCCTTGGCTTCACTCCTAAGTCCCATCAGCTTCCCGAGTTACAATCACAGTTTGATCTATGCTCTAATTGCAGAGGTCAATCAAACTTATTGGGACAGGGTACAAGTGGGGGTGGCTTGCTCAAGGCTTTAGTAACTGGAATGCCAAAAAAGAATGGTGAGGGAATTCTGGAGAAAATCCAGACAGAACTCGTGTGTATATGTGTGTGTGTGTGTGTGTGAGAGAGAGAGAGAGAGAGAGAGAGAGAGGGAGGGAGGGAGAGAGAGAGACTCTCTGTGAACCATTTAACCTTCCCCTTATGTCTTCCGGAAGCTGGGGGCCAGAAAGAGTAATGATCCTTCAAGGAAATGTTCAAAGTGGAGCTAGCCGGGCATCTAAGCACGGCCCTGAGATCCCTGAGGGGAATATCCACGTTATACTTTGGTCTAAAGCAAAAGGCTCTCCGTTACAGAAATGTCTATGTGGGTCAGCCTGAAATAAATGTTGTTTGGTTGGAGGATTGCCAGGGTGCAGTTGCGCCTTGTGAGCTACTATTTAGAACCCATTTTTGTTCATCCTTTCCTGAGGGGATGAATGGCATCTGCTCAGGAACATAAAGGGGGGTGGATTTTTTTATTCTTATCCCCCGGTTCCATTCCATTCTTGTGCCCCTGGTCCACTCTGTCCTGTATTCCCCTCCTCCCGATTTTTAACTAGGAGTTCTTCCTCAAAATAATTCTAAAAATTGGAGCTTTGCCACAGACATTAAATTCCTTGTGCTCAATTGCATCTCTCCCTCATCACTCTGCGGTAGCTGCACATGTAGAGTTGTCATATTTCAAAAAGTAAATACCAGGACACCCCAAAAGTTGTTGAGATCCAGGACAAAGTGCTGCCTTTCATAAATTCCCCCCGGACATCAATTCTGCCTTTGATATCTTGGTGATGTCTGGGAAAATCTGGACATATGGCAGCCCTATGCATGTTAACATTGATATAATCAGCCCTGTCTTTAGCATATGAGCAGCCAGGGTGCAAAGATCCACCCAGTGCCCCCAAATTTATTTTAGCCCCCAAATTAACTTTTATTATACTTATGTCAGACACCACACTTATGCCTTATCTCTTGCTGTGAATGACAAGCGCCGTCGTTGAGTCTGACAAGCGCAGCCATTGTGAATGTCAAGCGTGGTGTGTCTTTGGTAAATGAGCGCACAAAGTCGAAAGTCCTTTAGTGAAACAGTAGGTATACTCTTCGGTAATACCTAGGTATATATGTTTTTTTGTTTTTCTAACTTGATCAAAATTATTTATTCTTTCATAACAAGTAGATAGTTAAGAGCTTAGGCGGCGTCAGCAGCGGGAGCCTGGCGCCCCCCAGAATTTGGCCCCTGGGTGCCCCGCACGCCTTGCACCCCTGGATAAAGATGGCCCTGGATATAATTCAGTAAAAATCCTGCAAAAAAGCAATCACCATGTGATTCCCAGTATTGTGGCATCAATGTTACTTTTCTGCAGTGTTTTACCATCAGGGATAAAGCACTCTACCCGTGACCTTGAACTGGAAGGAACAAGAACCCCGAAAGCAAATGGGAATCATAGACACCTTTTCACCTTCCATACAGGACCTGTAAACCACTATAGAATGTTTGCAGCAGTATGTTTTTCTCAAACTTCCTCAATAGTTAACCATCCCGCAGGATGGCTCATCTGGGGGTGAGCTATGTTATGGGGTCTCCTATCCCTGTCACCAGTGAGGACTCTCAAAATCTGGCAAGCGATCTCCCCACTTTGAAGTGAAGCTACAGGGAACCAGGCAGAGGGCCTTATCGGTAGTGGTGCCCACCCTGTGGAGGAAGAGGAGGAAGAAGAAGAATTTGGATTTGATATCCCGCTCTATCACTACCCTAAGGAGTCTCAAAGTCGCTAACAATCTCCTTTCCAATGTGCAGGAAAAATGCATATGGAATTTCATGTGGACATTTTTTAATTGGGGGGGGGAGATTCACAAAGGGGGAAACTGAAAATATTTCAATTATAGTAGCTCTTTCAAAAATTGCCTCTATGCATATGAATTAGATTGCTAAAAAATTGTGCCACATAAATAGTTAAGGTGTCCTCCAAAGGCTTCTGGGAACTGTAGTTTGTTTGTTAAGGAGCTATTAAGGAATTGTAGCTTTGCAAGGGATCTCCTAGCAACTCTCAGTGCCCTTAACAAACTACAATTCCCAAAAGTCTTTGAGAGAAGTCGTGACTGTTTAAAGCTGTAAAAGAGTGCTTTTAATGAAAGACAAACATAGCTAAAGAAAATGTTTGCTGCTTTTGGCAATAAGTAAAGTTAAAACTGGCAATTTACTGATGGAAACTTTGCACGATGAACCATCCATATATGAACAAAGGCACTTCTGAGCAATTTTAGTGCCACTGTCACATTTTTCTAACCCCACCCCCTGGCTGTGTTTCTGGATGCAAACCTGAACAATTTTCAAGTAAACATGCCCAGCACTGCTCAAGCAGGATGTTGAATATGGCAGATTGCAATCCCTCTGACGGCATCCCAGCACACACCAGGCATTCTGCTTTCAAATGTCACCAGTGCAAGTACCCAAATCCGGTTCAGCTGAACATCAAACATACCCTTTGTGTCACTTGTGCTTAAATCCAGAGCTTATTTTAGAAAGCTCCAGGGAGCTTTCCTAGTTGTCTAATGTGGAAGGGAAATTAGCCTCCCCACCACCAGAGCTTGTCTGTTGTAACATGTGAGACTTGAGAGGGGGCATTTTGGCAATTTTGAGAGTGGGGAGAAATGTGAGAGAAACATGGGATGGGCTAAAGCCACATTAGAGCCCTCACTGCCTGCATCATCATCATCATCATCATCATTTATTTATTTATTTATTTATTTATTACCTATAGCCCGCCAATCTGGCCAGGCCTCTCCAGCCGCGCTGGGCGGCTTGCAACAGAATATTAAAAACACAATAAAACATCAAACATTAAAAACTTCCCTAAACAGGGCTGCCTTCAGATGTCTTCTAAAAGTCAGAGAGTTGTTTATTTCCTTGACATCTGATGGGAGGGCATTCCACAGGGCGGGTGCCACTACCAAGAAGGCCCTCTGCCTGGTTCCCTGTAACCTCACTTCTACAAGTGAGGTAACCACCAGAAGGCCTTCAGTGCTGGACCTCAGCGTCTGGGCTGAGCAATGAGGGTGGAGACGCTCCTTCAGGTATACTGGGCGTAACAGGTTTGCACATTCCTGTGCACACTAAGTAACTCCATATCAGTTCATAGAATCACAGAACTGTAGAGTTGGAAGGGACCATGAGGGTCCTCTAGTTCAACCCCCTGCAATGTGGAGATCTTTTGCCCAACACAAGGCTCAAACCCACAACCCTGAGATTCAGAATCTCATGCTCTACCATCTGAACTATCTCCCAGATAAACTTAGGCTGAAATCCTGTATGCAATAGGTAAGACTCAGTGGACTCACTGAAACTCACTTCTGGGTAAATATTGTATAGCAAGGATGGGGAACCTGTGGCCCTCCAGGTGTTACTGAACTACAACTCCCATTATTCCTCACTGTTGGCCATACTTGCTGGGGCTGATGGGACTTGTAGTTCAGCTACATCTGGAAGACCATAGGTTTCCCACCCTGATGTATAGGATTGCACTGTTGTGTACTTATGCAGGTAATAAATTATAACTCCCACATCAAGTCCATTATCCTGTGTATAACATTACCTAGCTGTGTGTAACAATAATAAGCTATGAACAGCAAGGTGTAAAGGTACAATTTGCTTAACTTTTTTTTGATATTTTTGGCCAATCAGCTTCATAAAATCTGCTCCTTCTTAAAACATTATATTTGTTTATTTTGTAAAGTGACTTTCTCTCTTTTCTTCCATGGGAAACGCAAAGGTAGATTTCAACCTACCGATTCTTGCTTCGAGTACACACTGAAAATATCATTGCCAAATTGGTTTAACAGTCCATCTCTCTTCTCAGGGAAGTCTGGGAACTGTAGTACTGTGAGAGGAATGGATTTCCTAACAAGCACCCTCAAAAAGCTAAAGTGCCCAGGCTTTTTTAAGCAGGAAGCCATGGCTGTTTAAAGTGGTATGATCCTGCTAGAATTGCATAGTGGACATGGGGCCTGGAATGTGAACTTGCTCCAACTTTGCACTCTGTTTTGCCCCCATCCGGTGAAGTGGGGTCCCAGCAACCTCTGGCGTGGGGAAGCCACTGACAGCAAAAAAATCCTAAATCTCCCTGCCCTGTGCCTCTCCATAACCCAGTGCGGAGCTGGCCTAGATCAGAGAACGTCGACCCATGCAAACAGTAAGAAGACTCGGTTTCATTTCAAATGAGAGAACGCTCATCCATCTGGCTGTGGTATTTATAGCTTCTCCAGCATCATTGTACTTGTTCAAAAATAAAATCGCAGAAAGAGAGAGGGAGGCAAGAAAGGAAGGATTCCAACGGCAGGCGCAGAACAACACCCCCATCACATGATTTGTTTCTAGACAGGGCTGGCATCAGGGATGGGCAAATCTGTCAATTTTGGGTTTCCTCTCCCTCTCTCATTTCTCCAGCCTTAAATCCCGCTGCATTTCCACATCCATTTGCAATGTTATTATGCACTATTTTTTTTCCTTTAAAAATAAAATCCTCATGAAAATTGATCAGCATTTTAGCGTGCCTTTCTCCGAATGGACACACATCTGTCTGCGGCTTTGCTTCACGTACGTAGCACATCTATTTCTTGCAGAGCAGTTTTGTACACACGACTTGGCTGGAGGACTGCGCTGCAAAATTGGGAGAAGTGCACACTTCGAAAGAGGGCTGTGTTCCGGTTCATGTGTTGTTCCAGAAACTGCAAATTCACAAGGGAGCCTCCTTCCCTCCCACAAGTCTCCTCCCCAACCCAACTCTCCCTCCTCCTTGCTATCACTGCCTGTTTACCTGTCCTTTCTCTGCATGCAAGTAGCAACAGGTGTAGCCAGATGCAATAGCACCCTCCACTTGAACTCTCTCTTTCTAGCTTGGTGTGAGGAATGTAATCCCTCAAATGACATTTTCAGTGGCATTCAGGAATACGAGGACTATAGCCATCGTGGGGTCAGTGGGGGCAACCCCCCCCCCCCGCTTGAGCAATGCTTTGCTCCATCTGCTTTTGCAGGAGGGGGAGAGTTATAGGTTGGGTTTTTTTAAGTGACATGAAAGCATACATTTTTTAAAAAACAAACAAAACAAAAACCAAGAGCCTGTTTTGTGGATTTTGATGTTTGGTTTAGATTTATAGGGGCCAGTGCTCCACCCAAGATGGCAGCAGTGCTTCAAAGTCCACTATGGCAGTCAGATACAAAAGAAGATGGGGCTCATGCAAAAGCGCCTTTAATAGCTATTAATGTCCCCCTGCCGCCACTGCCCTGGCAGCCACTCTGTGACAGGCACCTCTGGGGTTTTCTCAATATTCCAAATGTCCCCACTGGCCCAGAATGGTTGATTTAGACTCCTGGTTGGGCAAAGGTAATGTTACAAGCCAGGATATTTGCCATATTTCAAAAAGTGAAAATCCGGATACAAAAGTTGTTGAGCTTTTCTTGCAAAATCTCAATAATAATAATAATGCAGTTTTTGAGCTATTTTTAAGGAAATTCGGCAAAATCTAGACTACCGACAGGGGTTGCCATATGCAGAGCCATAGCTAGGTGACCTTTCACCCCTGGCAGAACTGTCCAGATTGCGCCCCCTAGCCACGGATAAATTAGCTCTTCTTTCCGCCTCTCCTCCAAACCCTGCCCCCCATTCAATTCACCCTCTATTTAAAACATTTTCTTATGAGGCAATAATCATTATTTTTATTTATAGACATATTTATGGTAATATTTTAAAGCTGATTTTTTTTGGGGGGGCGCCTGCACCCCTGGCGGAGGCCCACCTCACCAACCCCTAACTACGGCCCTGGCCATATCTCCATATTGTCCCAGACATTTCAGTGATTTCCACCTGGACACTGGTTGCGACGTATGGCAACCCTGTTTTTCAGTTTGGCACAGGCTAAGAATAAATCCTTGGACCGCTCTTTGTCCAAAGCTACTTTGGAAAAAACACCAGAGCAGACGGAAGCTGGTTAATCCAGTCTCAGGCCTCCAGCAGATGTGACACCAGAGATCAGCTCTGTTGTGGGATCTCACAGCTGTTTTGATCATACTTAAAAGTAGCTTCAGGGGCTCCTGTTTTAATCAGCACAGGGGAAGGAGATGCTTAATCCCTTCCCCCCACACCGTTTTGCAACCCTAATACAGCTCTTACCTTTGGGAAGAGGGGCAGCACCTATCCAAATCATGGCTGCGATTCTTCCCTACTCCTCTTGCCCAAGCTGAAAAGGAGCAGCAATTTAGATTGAAAACAAAGCATTGGAAGGAAGGGTTAAGCACTCCCTCCCCCAGCACCAGTGTATGAATTAAATTCAGAGTCCCACATGGCTGCTTTAATATATTTTTAAAAGTCAATGACAGATCTCTCGGGTCACCGTTGCTTTGGTCCACAGCAGGGACAATATTTGCCAGGCAGGATGAAATGAAGCCTTATTTTTTTCCCCCCTTTGGCAGAGTGCTACTTTGATTATTTTTGGATTCCAGAGTGCTAATGTTGCCTTGAAATCTCACACTTCCTGTGAGTTTCTTTGGGTGCCCTTGTCACGCCTGTGCAACCTGCACGTTTGTGAGTAAACAGATTATACAAAGGTCTGTACATCTTGCATGTCCTTTCTTCCAGAGAAAACTGACTCTGTAAAGTGATGTGGATCAATTGCAATTCTCATCATCCCTGGCCAGTGACACCGCTTGCTAGGGCTTATGGAATTTGTAGTTTAGCAACACCTGACAAAAAGAAACTATCTAAGCATAAGGAACACACCCACTCACTGCAACTGATTCGGGGCCGGGGCCAGATTGGGTTGGGTGTTGCCCTGATTGGGTAAAAGTAGGGGTGCTCTGTGCAGAACCCTACATGGTACCATTTGTAGCAATTGTTCTGAAATGTAGGGTCCAGGTTGAAGGCGATCCGTGCAAAATGCCTGCTGATGTAAGCTGGGCTTACTGCAGCAAGCATCACCAGGCAGAAGCCATTTAAATTTTCCACAATGCCCCTGATGTAGCCTTGCTCCAGGGGCTTTGTGGGAAATATATATGGCATCCCCACTGTGGCCTTGTGAAATGTTGCTGGCTATAAAATAAGCCCCAGATTAAACATTCATCATCAGACCCCACCAGAGCATGACTCCATGGCAAATTAGTTGCTGTTTAGTCGTTTAGTCGTGTCCGACTCTTTGTGGCCCCATGGACCAGAGCACAACAGGCACTTCTATCTTCCACTGCCTCCTGCAGTTTGGTCAAACTCATGTTAGCAGCTTCGAGAACACTGTCCAACCATCTCGTCCTCTGTCTTCCCCTTCTCCTTGTGCCCTCCATCTTTCCCAACATCAGGGTCTTTTCCAGGGAGTCTTCTCTTCTCATGAGGTGGCCAAAGTATTGGAGCCTCAGCTTCAGGATCTGTCCTTCCAGTGAGCACTCAGGGCTGATTTCCTAAAGAATGGATACGTTTGATCTTCTTGCAGTTGATGGTGGGAATTTCTGGGGGATGAAGGGGGCTCAGAGCAGGCGTCAGAGGGGGTCCTGCTGGGATACTGAGATCCCAACAGCTGCTGCTGGCACTGAACCTATTTGAACCAGAAGCCTCTGAAATCTCTAAGGAAACATTAGGCCTGGGGCCCAAAGGTGGACCTTGGGACTCTCGCCAGACCACACCCTTCATTGACTTTGCTTCTTATCTACTGGAAATGCTTTTGGCTGGCTGGAAGTGTCCTTGACCTCTTGCTTGCCTGGATGAAGGATGGGGAGGTTTGCATGAACTGAGACTATTAGACAAAAGTAAAAATTGCATTAATTGCTCTGCCCACGATTGACTCTGACCCTGCTCACCAATGGCATGTGCCCCCCAGGCAGCAATGTGGCCTTTTGGCCAAAAGAGGTTCTATGGCCCTGCTCTAGGGAGTGACTCAGAAGGCAACTAGGATGGGAAGCTACCTTCTGTGGCACTCCCCAGAGATATGCAGGAGATATGCCCATTTTTGTTGCTCTTGCCCCACTTCTCATCCTAGTTGCCTCCTGAATCACTCCTGAATCATGAGGGACTGGGTACCATTCACATACCTTCCAAGTGTCCCAGTTTTCCAGGGACAGAGAAATGTCAGGCCCTCTCTTAGTTACACCACTGCCTGGTTATGGAAACCGGGATTTATTTGTGTCTCTGTTTTATAAAGTGGGCCAGAATGCCTTCTCTTTACAAGCTCATCCTTGATGGGTACTTAAGGAATATTCTGAAACCAATGCCTCTGCTGAAAAGATATCAAGCCCATTGTTCTATG